TATGGCCATGTGCCAGGATGTGCTAAGAAATATGGCAGTTAACTGTTTAATCAGTGTATTTATGTATCTTTTCCATGAGAATTTGGAAACATTGGAAGAATCTGTCACACAAAAAAATCTCAATTTTCATTTTTTTTTTCGAAATAAATGATGTGGTTTTCTACTACTCCCACAATCTCTGGTTCACCCGCTTTCTGTTTAAGGGAAACGGTCGAATAGCCATGTTTTACCAGTACTCATGTGAAGACATCCTTAACTACTGCTGAAATAGTCAATTACAATAGGGTGTAAAGAGAAAACAAAGCACCACAATGGCCAATAGGAATTCTAAACTTGAAAACATTAATACTATCTATATTACATTAAGAGGGTCAAACTTCATCTAATATTCATTACGTTCTGTCCATTGCAACAAGACTCATTTTTACCCCATTTTCAGAACAGAAATCACGTGCGTCTACTGAACTTAAAAAGCTCTACATGACAATGCTGATAAAACTGCTTTAAAAACTCAACTCGTAACTTTGACATCATACACTCAACGTTTAAATGTTTCGCCAATTTTAAACTGCTATTATCTGATTAAACACATAATATGTTACACTTTCTAACATTGTGTATTTCCCATTGAAGGATAGTTTCGACTAACATTATTATTATTACAACATTTTGATGTTGTACAGTCAACAGTTCTTTTATTTACATTATCCTAATACATTAGATGAGCTTCTAAGTTGTGTTAAGATGAGAATTAAGGTATTTACGTACTTAGAAATAGGTAGGTTGCATTCTTGACAAATAGTAAAACTGAAATACTATTTTATTCAAGCGTTTCGATATATAATATTTGCATCCTAACGATTCGTTGATATAAAAAAGAATACAATTCTTGAGATGTGATGAGATAGGAGAGTCGAAATTATTGCTGGAAAATGAATAAAATATCAAGAAGAAGATGAATGCTGAATCACTGATGGCAATTTTTAAAGAGATAATTTCGATTTCAGTTATTAGGAAATGGGAATTGCAACTGGTAAAAAATTATCACTTCAGTTGTAAAAAACTATTTTAAAACTGCAGAATAGACTCAAGATATTGAATGACTTGTTGAACTATGGTTTCATTTCTTCTATTTAATTTAACATTAATCCACTTCTCATTATGCCTAAAATTTTAAACACACTTTTACGAAATGTGCATTTCTAAAGGGTAAACGGATCATAAATATTTTAATAAATATTGTTTACTAATTTCCACCTTCGCACTTATAATGTTTAAGAAATATCTTGATAATTTTCATGGAATTTATTGTAGCTTATATCAACAGCTTTTAAAAATGTTTTAGAATTATATTTCTAATCTGTAAACTCTTGTACAATTTAACAGATGGCGAAATATTTTTGAAGCTACGTATTAAATAGGCTTCACTAGCGAGCTTATAAGTCAACAAGCAGAAGTACCAGCCCTCAGTGACGGGAAAAGTTGAAGTTAATCTATCAATTTAAATAGTTTCATGGATTTTAAAAAGGTTAATTGTGTTGCACTCTTGATTTCACTCAGAGCCAAAGCTCTGAGCTACTTATAGTGTCCACCGTGAAAAGTTATTGTTGAGCATTTCAGTCTTACTAATAGCCGCTCAACAATAACATATGGTAAATCTACATTTTTATTCTTTAAGTTACGTCACACTGAATGATAGTGTGTTTATTTCCTAACAGTTTAGTTTGTTTATAGTTAAGCAGAAAGCATCACAAAGGACTATTTGTGCTCCGGCCACCACGGGTATCGAAATCCGGTTTCTAGCGTTATAAGGCCGCAGACATACCGCTGTTTAGAATATCTTGCTTGCGAAATAAAATTTCGCATCTCGCTTTAACAGACATCACGGTTCGCAATATATATATATCAGTTAGTGTAAACGTGTAATTTATTAATTAATTGTACTTTATAATACTAACTTATTAGCCAATAATAGGTTTATCACTTAACTTCCTTATTTTCATTATTGTCTTATTAAATTCATAGCTCGCAATATAAAATTTCATTTCTTAAAGTTTGAAAATTGTAAACTATAAAATATAGCTCTTTGAACTATTGAAAATCTTTATTTGATGTCTGAAGTTCTGTTTTGAGAAAGATAATTAACGTGTGGAATTATACAATTCCAGGGTTAAATTATTCGCTAAGTGCAATATTGTAAATAATTATGGAAATCGTGAGGAAAATGGGTATAGAAGACAAAAAGAAAATACCACGAGAAAGCCACCCCCTCTATCATAGGAAAATTAACCGCAACAAATTACAGTCACGTGCTGATTGTTTATACTGCTATTGGTCGCCACCGAACTAATCAGAAGGTACCACACCAGTACGTACACAGAGTCATTTTATTACCAGAAGTAAATGTGAATCCAGTCATCGCTCTCAGGAGTGAAATACCGCACGAAAAGTGTGTAGGAATAAATGTTTTGGTGGGATAAAGATATCACCCCGAAAAACTCTACTTTATCAATAGGAGCTTTATACAACTTTGAGAGGATTCGTGAGACTGGCATCTATATAAATAAATAGTACTGTCTGATGTCTGTCCATGTAACTACTTCGCAGGGAATGGTGGATTTTCACGAAAATTGATATGGAAGTTCTTTAGGTCCATGCGGGAATACATAAAAAATTTTCAGTTTTGTGTTTTGACGTTTTTTTACAAAACACACAAGTGAAGTAACTTTTCATGTCCTAAGATAACCTTTCATTACTCATGAATTTATATAACTTCCGTCAAGGGGACAGGTACTTCAGCTAGTTGTTAATAATAGAAACGGTTTAGCTATAAAACAAAAACTCTCCAAAAGCGTTACAGGACGTTTTATACAAGATACATTATAGTCAAGCACAGGTCTTGTCAACGATTTTCATTACATTCGACTCGCAATCTGAGGGTAGCGGGTTCGAATCCCTGTTACACCAAAAAATTCTCGCCCTTTTAGCGTTATAATGTGACGGTCAATCCCACTATTCGTGGGTAAAAGAGTAGCCCAAGAGTTGGCGGTGGGTGGTGATGACTAGCTGCCTTCCTTCTAGTCTTACACTGCTAACTTAGGGACGGCTAGCGCAGATATCCCTTGTGTAGCTTTGCGCGAAATTCAAAAACAAACAAACAAACAATCATTACATTCGAGAACTTTAAGATACACATTAGCATGAAGAAATCTTGACGGACGCGTAGCTTCTCGAAAACCACTGCTGAGAGGAGGTAATCAAGCCTAAAACTTCAAATGGACGTCGAATCACAAACATGGTATGAGCTAAACTAGAGAAATGTGCTCTTTGTACTGAAACCAAATTTCAGTTGTTCGGCAACAATGCATGAGTTTGACGGTAGAGAGAAGAATGATATATATCATAGTCAATATACAACACCTACAGTGAGTTACGGTGAGATAAGAATACAAGTTTAGAATTGCATCTCAGAAAACGGTTTCAATGATCTACAAAAAATTGATGGCACCTTGAATGCTGACATGTACAAGCACATTCTGATCCATCGTGCTTTTTTCTTTGAAACATAACTCATCATTCGGTGATTCATCTTTAAACATAACAATGGTCCCAGGGACACAGCAAATGTGATGAAACGATATTTTGACCGTAAGGAGGCTAATGGAATACTCGCAGCAATAGCTTAACCTGTATAAAATCCCTATACGGACATTCTTGAAGCTACATGAATTTATGTAAAAATCGAGAAGGCAAAAAAGCGACCAAGCCACTTGGCTGAATTGTGACAAGTAATACAGGGCATTCCGAACAATATTCCACAATTGTACATTAATAAACTGCATAACAGCATGAAAACAACGAGTAAACTATCTTTGTAAATTGTACCAAATATTAGTAGATTGTACAGCTTATTCGTTTTTATTTCGTATTTTATGTAAATATGTATTTTCCTAATGGTAAAATTACCATTTAGTAGCAATTACTCGTTGTTTGTACAATATCTTTGTGTTTTCATACTTATTGCTCATACCATATATATATTCACTAACAGTCATAAGTTAGTTCAAATACAAATATGAAAAACCATCCAACCGAAAAGTAAAGTTATTGCTTTTTACATCAGTCTTCAAAAACACCCCAAGTTGTATCACTCATTCACGATAAAAATCTTTTTTTTTACTAGCATATTTTAATAAGCTGTATACAAATACTACAAAAACACACACGATAATTTACGATTTAGATTTGAAAATGTTCACACTATCTAACAAAACTGTAAGAAAATATTACGTTAAAAGTTTCAAACTTCATCTAATATTTTTGACATTTTGCTCTTTGCAACAAGACCCAGTTTTACCCTTTTTTTTTCTGATCTGATCAAGAACTCTCGAAAGTTATGAATATTCATTATATCTCGGTATTTCTCACAATATCCTCCCGGTGATTCATCAGTAAATCCTAGTTTCGATACTCATGCCGGCAGACCCCAAACTGTATATTGTGTAGCTTTGCGCTTAGTAACAAACAAACAAAGTTTTCAGAAATTGAGCAGTCTGAAAAATATCGCAAGATTATCAAATTGGTCACGCCAAAAAATTATATGTATCTATTTTTGCAAGTAGTTATTTCAGCTAAATTATATTTTAACAACGGTTAATTTATTATTCAGCAGTTGTAAAGCAGAAATGTTCTGTAATTGCGAATATACTTAAGCGCAATTATATAAATCCCCAGGTTATATAAATGAAAACTTGCAATTGGTGCTCGCTTACTGGAATATTGCGCATACACTTGTTAAACAACATGAGAATTGCATCCTATCACAATAATTACGCTTATGATAATTTACTATAGTAGTTCAAGGACGCATTTATTTTTTTATTTCGGGACTACCATTCGTAAATGTGGTCTTTTAAAGTTACATTTCCAAGTTTTTCTTATAAATCCCCAATAAAACAACGGTCCCCTAAAAATATTTCAAAGCGCTATCTATTGAGAATGATTACATTTAATCCTACCATTGCCACATGGAAGTCAAAATATAAGTAATTAATAACTTTCTGAATAAAAACATGGGTAAGGCCAGCAAGATAAGGACAAAAAAGGTGGGAAGAAACATACCACTTGATACACAGATTGAAAAAGACGGAATAACTAAGCCAACAACACGGATTAAGTCGAGGAAAAGAAAAGACGAAGATGAACTGGTAGGCTTACGTCAAGACATTCCTCATATTATTTAATGTTTTGAAATAAAAGATTATCACCACAACAGTAAAACATGGAAATTATCAAGTTATTTATTAAATGCTATAAGCTCAAACTAGTGAGCAATATTAATCACTACTATTAATACAGGTACTAATAAAATTGTACTACTATTAGTATTACTTGCAGAAAATAGTGGTTAATAGGAATAATCGAACTAAGGTGTTAAAATTTTAAGAAACTAACGAAAATTCGAGTCACTGTTCATGTTTTAAAATCATTTATCTAATCTATAAGCCCTTGTTAGTTGGATTTTAGAGTGATTATTTAAACCTAGACTAACCTAGACATTGGAAACTAAAGTTAGTTTAACCTTACAACTTATGCTACCCTGTTTCATTTACAGCCTGTATCTCCTCTCTGCCATTAACCATACCCCATGGTACTTTTTTTTGTTAGTTCCTCGTAGTATTACTTTAAGTTTAACATGATACCTCAATATTTAATGCCTTCTGTGATTTGCCTGAGATAACTTTGGTGCCCTTCATGTTTGCCATAGTTAATTCTGGCAAACAATTTCTTACCTTATTTTTATTTGCCTCAATTTGTTTGCATGTTATCAAAAAGCAAAATAAAAAACTGCCATTTTTAGCTCATTTTCGAAGGGAACTTGATATGGAAGTGGTTAAAACAATATACAAATATCTTAAAGAGAATAAATATGTTTAAACTCTTTATACTTGTCTTATATCATGGGCTTAGGCATGATTTGTGAAAAAAATAATTCACTATTTGGTGAGTAACGTTATAATAATTTTTTTTTATAAATCTCATTGAAGTACTTTTTTTACATACAAGTTGCAGAATAGTTTTATGTTGTTGTTTTGGTAATAGCTTGATTTAATTCTTTGTGATATAACATCAGTTCACAGATGACAAACTTTCCAAGAAGATCTTGGAGCAGGCTCGGCTGCAACAGGAAGATCTAGAAGAAGAATATGGAACATCTAGTAAAAAGTAGGTAAACGGTTGAAATGTGTGTCTTAAATTTTAAATGTATGATGAAATTACTAGTTTACCTTTCTTGACTGCATAAATTCAGTTCTATTTTTAACTATACAAAATTTTAAAAGTCAACTTTGTTTATATAAAGGTGCATTTCAAAGTAGAGAGATACATCTGTTTAAAATTATATATAATAAGAGCTTGAAATAATTTTATTTTGTCCGAAAAAAAAAACATAACTTATGTGAGTTAGTCTGCAAAAACATGATTATTTTGTTTTCAATTTTTCCAATGCTGCTTAAATGGTAAGTATAAAACTCGGATAAAGTTTAACATTTATTAATAAAACAACTTAAATAACGAAATATTTGTTGCATATAATTTTTTTTTTTATATACAAAGGCCTAAAGATAACTGGGTATTACATTAACACAGACAAAAGTGATTGAGCTTGGAAATGCAGTTCTTAAGCCCTACAAAACTAGTGTGCCAGTCAATAAATTTTAAAGGTGAAGATATTCTCTCATTATCAGAAATAAAGTCAAATATTCAGTATATCTAGAAATGCTAACAGCAACTTACTGCCATTAACATTCAGTCATGTAAATTCATTCAGAAGTAAGAGCAATGGCACAAGTGGCAATTACTTTTAGCATTCACAACAAAATTAACAAACTATTATCTTTTTTTTTTTTGAAACAGTGAGGTGTTTAATGTTAAATGAAAATAATCAGAAATGTATGAGTTACTACTACAATCTTTATACATTATATTTTACAGCATTCAGGTAATTGTTCCATCAAACCTTAACTGAATGTATGGTATATGTATACTATTATTTTTATATAATTGAGCTCTCATTCTCTGTTTCAGTGAGATAAATACAGTTGAAGAGAAACAGTTTTATGATTTACAACTTCATATTTCATGAACATGTTGCTGTCCTTCACTCTCAGTATACCAACACTTGATGGCTATATATTGATCAATTATGCTTATAATTTTTACTTTTAACTTACAGATACTTAATGTTAATAACACCAACCTTTTTTTCAGTTCTAATGAGGATTTCAGTTACGTATGATTTCACTAACACATTCATTAGGAAATCCTAAAAATTTGTTGTGTTATTCCAGGCTTGGTTAATAATCTGTAGAATGCTCACCATTATGTATAAATATAATTCTATTTCAACAGCCCTTAACAAGTAAAAGTTTGGTAAAAAAAACTACATCAAATAACTCTTAACTTGTATCATATATTCCTATGGTAACTTTCTCGTTTTTGATTTTAGTGAGGTAGTAAGACCTGATAACAGTAAAATTGCAGCCTTCAGCTGGTCATGATATGCATATTTGTATCTAGAGTTTTTATAATGATTTGTAATGCAGCTGACAAGCCTTACTTTTATGTTTATTTGTATAACGTTATGTTTGTATTGTTGAAACTGTCAGAAAGAAAGGCAAACCTGTTTCAACATTGACGACCGTACTTGGACCTTCAACATCCCATACAGATTCTGATTCTGATGGAGATGAATCTGAAATAGAAGAAAATACTTATTATGAAGACTTTGTAAGTAAAGTATTAGAAGTTTTGTTGCATAACGTTTTATTCTGAATATATAAATGCTTATTTGTTCAAAGTACAGTGTATTTTGAAACAGATGTAATGCATATATATAGGAATTCTTTTCATGTCAACATTTCTCATGAGAAAAGCACAAAATTTAACACTGATATTCTGCATTGACATGCCCAGTTCAAAATAGGAGCATTGAGATTAAAAAATCTGTTGTGGAAGTTTCTGTGAGGTGTCACTTGTGATAGGTGACATACAGTTTACTATAAATGTGGATTACAGCAAATTTTGTCTTTAAGAATAAAACCACTGTAAAAAAGCAACATTGAAATATGAAAATTGAATTTATCTCCCAACATTGTTCAAATTCCAATTATTCTGAAAACTTTTCTTTTACCTGATGTCCATTTTGAAAATACCAACAAATTCAACAAAGTGTTCTAGATTTACAGTGAAAATTGAACCAGATGTTATGTTATGGTGTAGTTCCAATGCTCATTAGTATAGATGAATTTGGAAATGTCTAAAACAACAACTGTTTGTGTAATAACAAACACTTTCAAGTAAATGAATGAGTAAGACTCAATTAAATGTTTAGAATATTTTAATTACCAGACATATTAAAAATGTATTCAAGCCACACATAATCTATATTGATATAAGTAAGAACTTCTAATGTTTTAGGTGTATTGTTTTGTATTTTAAAATGTGATTCACCTTACTTCAGTTTCTTACATTATACTTATTTATAGATTGTTGATGAAGATGAAGAAAGATCTCTGCAGCTGTTTATGAGTAAAGATGCTTCAACGAGAAAAACTTTAGCTGACATCATCAAGGAAAAACTTACAGAAAAAGAAACTGAAATTGAAACACAGTTTTCTGGTAAGTCAGGCATTTGTGATTTTAAAGCCTCTTTTAATAACTGTCAGTTTTAAAACTATACCCTTCTAACCAATTTCTCATCATATATTTCAACAGTGCAAAGTTCTTTAGTTAAAGATAGGAATGTTGTTCAACCTTAACATCACTTGACTATTACACCTGTCTTGAAAAAAAATGTTTTTTAGCCAGTAACAAAATGCTTTGTAGTTAGGTTGTTATTATTATCTGATCAGGGGCATATTTTGGGCACAACAGCTCATTTTCAACCATCTATATGTTCTGCTGTCCTTTTCATTTCACCATATGATCCCCAATCTCTACCAAATAGTCCAGTAGTACTTTTTCTTCCTACCCCTAAGTCATTTATTACCCTTGGATCCTTTTTGAAACTGTGTCCCCAACCACATCTTTTCAGAATTTTTCCCATCAAGTTTCCCTCACCATTACAAGCACCTCCTCATTTCTTATTTGTGAATCAATAACTAAACTTTTGTGTTATTTTTTCTAGTTTTGAAACATGATTTTAATTCTGGTAAGATGTTTAGACCTGTTGAGGGATCTTTCATGATCCAAAGAATGTATTGTAAAAATTACAAACATTTGGGCATGTGGTTTTTACTTAAGGAACATTTAAATACTCTATACTTTCTTACATAAAACAAGAAAGAATCTTTTTCTTGCAGTTTGTCATAGATTTATCTTTTTCTTGGGTGTCTATAGCATTTTTATTTTCTTTCTGTAGATGCTGGAAGCATTAAACTTTCTGAACTAGATGACAGGGTGGTAGAAATGTACAAAGGAGTCAAGCAAGTTCTTTCTCATTATCGTAGTGGAAAACTTCCCAAAGCTTTCAAGATCATCCCAGCTCTTACCAACTGGGAACAAGTGCTGTATCTAACAGAGCCAGAGACTTGGACAGCTGCAGCTATGTATCAGGCAACTCGGATAGCCACAGAAGGAATTTATAGAAAGAATTGTCAGTACATTTTTTTTTCTCTCTCTACTTTTCTTTTAATATTTATGTATTATTTTTTCTACAATGGAAAACCAAAATGACATAATTGGAGATGAAATTAATGGGGGCTGACTGTATAAAAATAAGTTCCTATTGAACTAAAATGATGCTACTAAATGATAGACAGAAACATATAGAATGAAATATTGTTTCTATAGAAAATTGTGACAGTTGGGCGACTGAAAAACAACAAAAACTCGTATATATACAAAACTGAGTCTCTGTTTCTTTTTACAGTGAACTTAGAAACAGAAAATTGAGATATTAGGGTAACTGAAAAAAAACTTGTATATGCAAAACTGAATTCAAGTTTGCATTAAAATATATGACCTTTGTGCCATTTTTATCCTTCAAGTTTGAGGCAAATTATGTTTTTCTAAAACATTGCCAGTTCGACTTCTTTTGCAATATTGTACTATGGTACGTATTCTTTATTGTTTATTATTGTATTATACTTTGCCTTTTGTCATATGTAGGATATTAAATCATGCCACTGGAACACAACTTCAACTATTATACCAATGGGGAAATTGAGTCCCCAGTAACATCACAGTTCTCAAGAACATTAACGGGGGTTGATTGCATTTGTCAAGAATTTCTTTGAACTGTTTTGATAATATAATTACTTTCCAGAAGTGCCAAATTTTTCAAAACATTACAAAATACATTTGATTCTCATTTTGGATACTAATGTTACTTTTAAAGGCAAAAATTTATAAAAACATTTCTATTTTAATTTGAACATTTGTTTTGTTTTTTGTCAGGTTTTACAATCTAGTCTTATTGCCCCGAATTCGAGATGACATTGTAGAATATAAGAAGTTGAACTTTCATCTTTACCAGGTATGTTGTAACTTCTCCAGTAGTAATGTAATATTGCTGTTACAGAGATAACTATTCATAATTTATCTGTATACGGTCAATTTTGCAATTATATTTCATTAACTAGTTTTCAGAACTTCTGTTTCTGAGCCAGGAATAAAACCTAAAAAGTTTGTTTGAAATTATGATAAATGTGTTCTTCAATAGTATCTAAAAAACATTAAGAAAAGGTTTTGAACCAATAATATTTGGAAGCTAACAAAACGAAGCTTAAATGAAATATATCTATACAGTACCTAATTTTTGTCAAAAATACTTTTGAGACTTTTCTAAATGGGTTTGTATAAAATATGGTTAAATCTAGTCTTTTTTTTTTTATAATTCTGTCCTAAATTTGCCAAATAAAAAAAACCAATGTTTTATATACATAAGAATTGTTGTATTTAAAAAAACATTTCTTAAAATAATCACTTCAAATTTTTACCTTTTTACTAAAAAAAAACTAATTAATTTGTTACTACGTCTTGTTTTTTTCACTCACATTGGTACTGGTAAAGAATTCTCTTTTTCTTTATATATTTTGTAAACAGGCATTGAGAAAAGCCTTGTTCAAACCTGGTGCTTTTTTTAAGGGAATTATTCTACCTATATGTGAGGTAAGTGTTCATTTAAATATTTGTTACACTTGTGTAAAGTTATGATGAAATGTTTGCTAGAACTTGAAAATTAGTGGTATTCCTCAATCAATTGTATGTGCATGCAAAAAAAAAAAGTTACCTTCCCTCCAGCCAGCAGCTCAAAATTAGTGACAGTGGCATATAGCCTTAGTGGCTTTACAATAACAAGGACAGGGTAAGCAAGTGTGGTGGCAATGGCAAAACACAAGACCCTTAAATCACCCCCCCCCCCTCCTCAAATCACATTAGTTGGACAAACTTGAGGTTCAAAAACAACTTGTAAGATTAAAATTGGACAGATTACAGATAGCCTATTATTCAGCTTTATGCTTAACTTCATACAAACATAATAGAAATATTTTGGTTACTTTGATTGTTGAAATAATAAAATATTTCAGAAACCCTAATTTTGATTGGTATATTATTTTTGTGAGTTATTTTAATCATAATTTTGATTAATCAGTTGTTAGAATAACAAAAACAGTAATAATCAGAAATCCCTAATTTTGATTAGTATATTATTTTTGTGACAGTTATTTTTAATCATAATTTTGATTAATCAGTTGTTAGAATAACAAAAACAGTAATAATCAGAAACCCTAATTTTGATTGGTATATTATTTTTATGACAGTCATTTTAATCATAATTTTGATTAATCAATTTATGTGACACTAATATAGGTAATTGTTGCTCATAGATAATCAATTATATTGAACTGCCTAGCTCTAAATAGCCATTAGAAATTATTCTTTTTATTTCAAAATTACTTGTATATAAATGTATACTATGTTATTGGTGCATGGAAAGTATGAGTACTCAGCTTGAAGACTTTTTGTCATCATTAAAGACAGATAAAACTGAGTTCAAATCCAGGTTTGTACCCATACCACCCAAGCATGACTCCCCTCCTTTCATACTTAACACTTTCAATGTCATTGATTTTAATTTTCTTAGTTGGGAACCAGGTGTTGTGTATGTTTTGTGGACTTTAATTTTTATGCTTATTTCAGTGGCTATGGAAATGAGTAAATATGTTTTAGGCACATTACCTATCAGTGCTAGATCCAATAATTAAGCCTCAGTGAAGATTTGTGAGTTTTTTCCTCATGACATACTAACTTCAACTGGCTATTTATAGTACCTACTGACTTTTACAAACCATGTTCATGGGGACAGGATATAATTCACAGGTTAATTTAGTGGGAGTTAAACAAACTGTCTGCTGGGGGTATGCTGTCATAATACTTTTGGTAACATAGTGCATATACATACTATAATTTTTTTCTTTTCAAGATTTTTTAAAATTTTCATTGTATGGTTGTTCCATTGTTATTAGAACTTAATGTAACAATTGTCCAAACTATCACTGTTTAAAGTATGTATATAACCTGAAATATTTTCTTGTGTAGCATAACCTAGTACCACTGTACATTTCAATTGTGCACACTACAGTTATTGTTTTCATAACATAGCACAACTTGTAGCTTTCTTTACAAATGAGTGCTGAAAATGTTGATCTAACCAAGTAAGGTTTTAACTAACACGAGTATCAAATACCATCAATTTCAGTATTTGTTTTAATGAATTTTCTGGGCATAAATCTGAGTTGTAGTAAATTTAATTACCGTCACTTTGTAGTGAAATAAAGAATAAGCGTGTGAAAAACAAGTTTTATTAAAAGTATTTTTCTACTTGTGTTTAAGCATTGAAATATACTCAATGAGCCATTTCTACACTAAGATTGTTTTGTATACAGTAATCAATTCCTGTTTTTTACTGGTAAGTCAATTTATTTTACCAAAACAGTCGGGAACCTGTACCCTGCGTGAAGCAGTGATCATCAGTAGTGTCATTGCCAAGAATTCTATACCGATGCTTCACTCAGCTGCTGCCATTCTCAAGATTGCAGAGATGGACTACACTGGAGCTAGTAGCATCTTTCTTAGAACATTGTTAGATAAGAAGTATGCCCTTCCTTACAGAGTAACAGATGCTGTTGTCTATCACTTCCTCAGGTAATACATTACTGAAGCTAGTAGCATCTTTCTTAGAACATTGTTAGATAAGAAGTATGCCCTTCCTTACAGAGTAACAGATGCTATTGTCTTTCGCTTTTTCAGGTAATACATTACTAAAGCTAGTAGCATCTTTGTAAGAACATTGTTAGGTAAGAAGTATGCCCTTCCTTACAGAGCAATGTATAGTTCCTACAAATCAGGAAGACTGTGAATTTGATATTTTGTATTCCTAGTTTGGGAAACATCGGGGAATATCATTTTACAGACAAAAACTGAGTCAGTGATGCTTCTAGAACACAGATGATGAAAAAGTAATTATCATTAGCATCAAAAATTGCATACAGATCAATTCTGGCACACCATTTTTATTGTGTACATCGATCTTGTTGTTTACCATTATTTGTCATGGAGTATGAAGGCAGCCATAATGGATTACATAAACAATAGCTAGGTTTTGCCTAAATGGAATATAGGGGCTCTGGACAAGGCTTTACCTCATTTTCATAAAACTAGCTCATGGAGGATTTTTTACTACAGACCAAAATTAAAGGTTTTTAACAAGTTACTATTTAGAAATAGGCTATTTTTGTTAAATAAGTTATTTTCATTTTACATATTTTAATGCATTAATGAAACAATCCCCAGCTCATTAGCCATAGAAGGAAATTTAATAACTTGGATGTATTACATCATTGACATATTTGAGTAAGAAAGATTTGGAAGATGTCAGAATGAAAATGAACAGTTTGATTATTTTGGTAAAGCCTGGCAGTTCAAAGATAGAACAAATCTACAGAGTTTTGGTGAGCTTTTCATTTCATATATGTACTTATATTTGTTCAATTAATTTTCAAAAATAATAATAATGATTATATATATATAAGCCCATATAAAGCAAAATATGAATGACAACATATAATATCAATAACTTGGAGAAATCAAACAATTTTAAAGAAAACTAATAACAGTACTGAAATTTAGAATGTTTAATTACACTATAACTATGCTTGTCATTATGCATTATAAGTATGTGCAGTAAGAACTGTAACCAAGTAGAACTGCGCAGGCACATTATGCACTTGACAACAACCAGCCTACCTGTAGCAGAGATCTACAAAGCTGAGTGAACGAGTCACTACAACTGCTATATGAATGAAAGAATAACAGTAAAATGTGGATGTAAATATACTTTACTAACCATTTTTTACAACAACATTAAAAGCTGAGTTTTCAGAAAGGTCTGAACAAAATTAAGTTTATTTATCAATAGTATCAAGTACAATAAAGTTTAGTCCTAACTAAAGCAAAAAATGTACACATGTTACAATGTTAACTTATCTCTTTATCAAACTTAAGCTGTACTTTATAAAACTTAACTAATGTTAGGTTTAAGACAAGTGGATTTATAGATTCCGTGTCTATGATTATAATTTGTTTGTATTATTCGAGAAATCTTTTATATTAAAAGAAGTACTGTTGAAATAAAGATACTAATTTGACCGCAAATGTTTTGTGGGTCTCTACTAGTTGACTAATAATACTATATATGTAAGTTTCTGAGAATAAGCCACTATTTGTTATCCATGTATCTTTATAGAAACAGTTTAACTTGCTTCACTGAATACATCCTGTCTAACTAATAATCTATAATTTAATGATTTATACATTGGAGTAATATATACTAGGAAAATTTACTGTTTCTCAAACAACGAACAAGATGCTAGGGACAGGAAAGAATAAAGTTTGAAGGTAAAGATGAGCATGCACAACTTGACATAATATGATATATAGTTTTGAAACTATTGGCTTTCAGACCATGGTATGCTCCTGAGACAGATATTGTATAGTGGTAGTATGGTAGGCAATGTGTTAGTGTTTTTTATTGTGTCTAAATCCAAGGACCAAATCAGAATAAAAATAACTAGAGTACTTTTAGTAAAAGTTTTACTTAATGGAAGTTTTTATTTAATGTAATAAGTAAGATTATGCAAGAACAAAATGAAAAACTTGATACTTGAGTCTGGTGAGTGGTGTGATATTATTATGCAATATCAATACCAGTGACAAACTTGATTCTATACAATAATATTCATGTTTGTACCAGTTACTCTAGCCTCTACAAGAACGATTGAACATCTTGATGGCATCAGAATAATGCAACCTATAAACATTGTTGATGTTTTACCTGTAGGTCTGATTCCACATACGGAATGAGCGTCATGTATGTATAAATAATCTGACAACTTTGTGAATGAACATAAACTTGAAAATAATTTTGCTCATGTGATCTATCCATAAATATATGGTCACATTAATTCCAAAATTTCAATACTTTTGATATAGATAAACTTTATACATATAGTTTCAAAGCACGTGCAGAAATAATAAGGCTGCAACAAATCCTAGGCACCAGGTCGCCATGGCAACTAAACTTTCATCATGGCCCCTAGTATTTTCCCCCATTTTATTCGTGCATAGGAATGTGCTAAATAGAACTCTAATCTAGAACAGTTCTGGACTATTTGGAAGACTGGTACTATTTTTGCATTGTTTGAGTCCAAAATCGAACAGGATTTTAATGGCAGATTCACCACTTCATGTTTTTTCAGAAAGGAAGCTATGCAGTTGCACAACACGTTACTAATTTTGTGCCATTTTGTTTTTCTTCTTTCTCTAAATTCAGCCAATTAGTGTGCATGTTAGATGGGACCAAAGGCAATTAGTTCAGGCAATACTGTCAAACAAAAGTGGTTGAAAGAACTGAAGTGGCTTAAATTTAATTGCAACATGGGTGTTGCTCATTGTGAGATTTATGAATCTCTCACTAGTGTTTCAGACTTCAGTTCAAAAGTCTTACAAGTTTCTACTTGGCCCTTTAAGCTGAAAGCATGAAAAATCATTTCAGCATCAGAAATTCATTTAATTATATAAAGCATTGACATCTCCAGAATCTACCCCTTTAACAGTATGTGTGAAGGAAATTCAAAAAGTTTGCTTAATCATATGAAGGCTGTTTTTAATATAGCCTACTACAGTGCTAAAAATAACAAGTCGTGTTTTGATATTGATGGTTTGTTAATGTTGGTAGAAAATTGGGGCTGAAGGAAGAAATGAACACAACAATGACAAAATATATAAGGATTTTGTGTCACATATTGAACATGTATTGTTAAACAGACTTTATGCTGTATGCACAATACATCAAAGACAACAAAGGCAAAAGAAGTGTTCTTGTCCATCATCCTTCTTGAGAGTGTTACTGGAGATGGATATTTGCCAGCTATTGAAAATGAATTGGATAAACATAATCTTGCACATTGGCTTTTTTCAAGTCAGCTAATTGGTATTGGAACTAATGGAGTAGCCAACTTGATTAGAAAATGTATTAGTACAGAAAATTGGAAAAAAAATGTATTGCACACAGGTTAGATTTAAGTGTATTAAGTGCACTAAAAAATATGTAAAAGCTATAGATGATATTGATGCTGTTCTCAGAAACCTATAAAAATTTTACCAGTCTTTGCCAATAAGACTGCACCAATTAAATCTAGGGACAGAGGGTTTACAGAGCCAGATCCTAAAATTTCAGTACCTTCATAAAGTAAGATGGGAGGTCAACAAAGTTGGTGATTTATTGAAGGACTAGAAATGTGTTACAGTACATCTTGAGGGTGTTGCTACACAGAAAGACAATGCTTCTGCAGTTGCAAAGGGACTTTTGAAAAAACTGAAGGATTTCAAGTTTGTTCACATGGTACATTTTCTTTTAGATTACCTTAGTGCAGTTAAGAACTTGTCTCTCAGGTGTCAAAAGCAAAATATTTTACGCACTGTTACACTTTATGTGCCAATTACCATGTCATCACTGAAGAAATGATTCAAGTTACTATGAAAAACAAAAGTATTTGTAACACTTCCCTGAATGGCACTTATAAAGAAGTGCAGCTATGTGAGTTGGGCACAGATACAAGTTCTTGCATCCTAGTTGAGAAAAATAACTTGTTCGAAGATGGTGTGCATTGATACCAGTATTGAAAGGTGTACCACAGTTTTTGACACTTTAACCTGGCCAACAGAGGATTTGGAAAAATTTGGGAAGGAAGAAATAAACACTGGCTTATCATTTCAAGAAACAACTGTCATCCCCAAACATGTGTGGTGAAACTTTTACATATCATCTTCCCAGTGAATGTTATGAATTCAAAATTCTTGGGAAAGGAATGAAATTCAGTAAACTTTTGAATGAAATTCTATCTAACAGTGAGAAGTTTCTGAATTTATGGAAATTGTTGTCTATTGTATCAGTGTTATCTTTTCTACTGTTGGTTGTGAAAGAAGATTTAGCTTGATGAAGCAAATTAAGATCATCAATGGAAGTAAAGTTTGAATGACTTGATGTTTATTAGCATGAATGGGCCATTACTGGAAAAATTTGATGCTTCAAAAGCTGTAGATCATTGGTATTTTAGTTCTAAAACCTCTAGACATGTGCATGGCCACAAAAGGCATTTTATGAAATAGATGGACTTAAAAAGGAGTTACATATGAAGTTGTTATTGTTTTTATAAACTGCACATAATATACAGATTATAAGCCAATATTTTTTTATTAATAATTAGGCTGTAAAATTCATAGTCGCCTTAGAATCGTGGATGACCATAGGTCCCTTCCCCTACTCTAGCCTGTCACATTTCTGAATGTCCAGATAGCATCCATGTACGATGCATGCCAGATGGTCGCACAAGGTCATTGCTAACTTTTGCAACTAATCCACCCGCAGACTGTTCAGTTATCTTATTTCAATGGAGCTTGCGATGTATATGTCTAAAACTCTGATCACGGAAACTATTGCACCAATCATAACTGGGTAATATTTTTATAGCTGAGAAATAAATAAAACAATTGAAATTTCCACAAAAATGATATGTTTCAGATTTAACTAATAAAAATTACAAAAAAGGAGTAAGTTTCAAATATAAAACAATAAAAAACAAACTTAATTGTTTTTCTTTAGTGAAAATCTCATGAGTGTTGCAACAGAAAAGCAAGGCACTTTCATTGATAACTGCGTCAACAGAGAAATTCTTCAATCAGATCTACCCTGTGATGATAGCTACTTTTTTAAACTAAAATTTCAATAAAATCTTTTTTTCTCATGGATGGTGAACATTATTGAATGTCAAGTACAAGTACATTATTGTAGAATTGTCAGACAATTCCAGAAAAGGCTGCAGTCCTGTCTTGGGGCCGCAGGAACTAGCAGTTATACCTGTCCAGAGGGTGGTATTTCTGCTAGTAGTATTGATTTTGCACACCTAAAAAAGGGGGTCACCTTATATTTGACATCAATTGGGCCAATATGGTATGTTATGTAATATATATTTAATAGTGAACACTTTGTTTTTGAGTGTAAAACTATGTCTTACACCATAACCGCACAACCAACTCAAAATATATTCCATAAATTTCTGTATCAGACCTGGCTCCTAGATCTGAAAATATTTGTCAAGGCCTGGAAATAACAATGTGCTCTGGATCAGTGGACGATTTTGTTAACATATGTAATTGTTTTATAGATATTGGAAATATGAGTTTACTGCAGAGTATGGCTAGCAAATTAAGTTTAGTGCATGTATGTACATCAGAAAATATTGCTTTAATAAATATTTGACGTACGAAAAGTGTACTTGTTAAAGAATAGATCATATATGCAAGCTTTTTTATTAATCCAAACATTGTAAGTTACAATAACTCTGGAAGAGACCACAACTGTGAGTCTGTAGACAGAAGTTGGTTTCAGTGTATGTTAACTTCTAATATGGCATTGGCAAATCTGGGTCAGTTTTTTATTACAGTGTGCAACAGTAATTTTTCATTCTGGGCTTTTAACCTACAGACATTTTGATTGCTGAAATTAACAAAGAAATGTATTGGACTTGATGATTTTATTGAATAAAACATTGCCGGGTAATTTGGTCCAACGATCGTACACCCTGAAGTAATGTTATTTTAATAATTTCCCTGTAAAATTGTAATAAACATAAAAAACCTAAGTGCAATTTTAGGCCTACTAGCTCATTTTCTTTAATAGATGTGTATTTGTTTTGTTAGTAAAAATGTCCTTTAAGGATTATCTGCATTTTTGTTAAGCTTACTATGCTAATTCAACAACAGTTATCAGTCACTTTTAAACATCCTAATTAAAGTTGAGTGTTCAAATCATCATTACCATCCACTAAGCCTTCTTTTATCTACATGTTAACAAGTTATCAATCACTAACAAACATGCTGAGTTAAACCTAAGTGCTGTAATCACTGTTTAGCCTATCATTAAACACTATATAACCAAGTGAATTCTTGTGTAAAATAGTTTCCAATACTTGCAGATTTTCAAGATATTTGAATTTTCTAAAGGTTATAATTTGGTAAATAAAGTATTTTAAATTGTATTATTTTTATTTACTGCCAGTGTTAATCAGTTTCTTGATTTTTAGTCAATGAAGTATTTTTTATACTATTCAAGAGAAACCATGTTTAATTTTTCTATTGAGGATCTATTATAAGTGTATATTTTGTTAATTACAGGTTTTCCACAGACAAAAGAGAGCTTCCAGTGTTATGGCATCAATGCTTGTTAACCTTTGTTCAAAGATATAAAGAAGACATTGCTAGTGAACAGCAAGATGCTCTTCATGACTTGCTACGTGTACACACCCACCCTCAGATAACTCCCGAAATCAGACGAGAGCTGCAGAACTCAAAGTGTTGTAAACCTGAGATGGAAACAAGCAACAGTGGAAAACTGTGAAAGACTGGAATAAGTAAAAAACACAATGAAAAACTTTTCAACTACTGCGAGAAATCACTGCATTTCTCAGTAGTTGTTTTAGTTTGAGGTCTTGTTCGAAGTTTGAAATACCTTGGTAAAGGATGTCAAATGTGTGTGCCTGTGGTAATAAAACCACCTTTGAAAAGTCATATGACCATTTTATTGTATCAAAAATATATTTTCACAAACAATTTCTTATTGCTGATGGAGAAACTTTTTGAAAACACTGAATAACAAACATTTTATCTAAAATGTTCTGGTTAACAGTTTGTTGTTTTTTTTCTTACTGATGTACATGAATTATTATTTATTCAAGAATTACCAAAACCTAGTTTGTGAAATATCTTGTTAACCTAAATACTGGTATTCAATCTCCATGTTTTTTTTCAAGCTCCTCAATCCGCTCCTTGTGTCGTTCTATTTCTTTCTGGTGCTGTCTGATAACTTTCTTGTGATGTTCTATTTCCTCATCTAAATGAATCTTCAGCTCATTAATCTGCTTCTGTTGCTGAAAAAGTTTAATGTAAAAGACATTTTGCAAAGTAAAATTACAATAATTCACAGTTCCTAAACCAACTGATGAAAGGAATTAATGTAACTCAATAAATCAAATCAAAATTAACTCGTCCTGATACCTAGTGTGCATGTACCAAGTTTGATTTAAGATTTATTGAAAAAAATTTGCAAATTAAAGAGTTAACTACTTTTACTTCATTGTTACATTAAAATCAAGGAATTTATTATAGATATGGTTGTCCTACTTTATGTTTGCTTTAACTATTTATGTGTTAAGAAATATACATTTTAATTAAAGGGTTAAATTCAAAGTAATGTTTGAAGGATAAGTTTAGCTTCTAGTTTGTGTCAGGTCATGGCAAAATTACTAAATTTTATGGTATTATTTTAAATAATTTTCACATCATTAGTTTCCTTTAAATATTTTCTATGGTTTATTAGAAATGAAAATATTTGCATAAATTATCAAAGTTCTTTACTGCAGCATACTACAGTTTAAATTTAATTGTATTCATAATATTTTCTTTAGTACCAGCCATATAGCAACTTTTGCCCCATGTATATTGTTGGAAGTCTGAGTATTAATTGTAATGGTTCCTTGCAGAGAAAGAACAGAATTCTCAATACAGTGCAAATAACCTAGGTCGGAATTACTAAAACATGTGAAATCTATAAATCAAAATTCTCATACTAGTTTTCTGAAGTACTGCTCTTCACGAGCTGCCTCCATTCTTCCAAAACTTCCTCCAGCTTCCCTATATAAATAAGTTTATTGTTAATCAAAGATCAAATTTGAAACTCTAGTAATAAAAAGTTATTGTCTTACCAACAAGTCTTCTTGTACTATGTATCTTAGATGTTCACATCAATAAGTAATTGTCTAGATCTTTCTTACCTTAGCGTCAGCTTGAACTTAACTACTATCAGATTAAAATTAGGCCTATCTGGAATTGTTAATATTTTAAAATGAATTTGTTATACTACCTTATAAGAGTGTGGTTTTAGCACATTCTGTAGAATTAACAACGTCGAGGTTTTTATTTCTCTATATACTTGAGTTTCCCTCTTAACCCCAAAAAATATCCAATTGAAATCAAAGTATAGTAATCTTTTAACATTACATGAAACTGTGAACGTTATTTCTAAATGATTTCCACTTCATCTATTTTACATACGGTATCTGTACAACAGTAGTGGATTTTTTACGTCATCTTCATATTTCAGTGTTTGTATCTAATACAAAATATGTCTTGTCCTTGAATTTAATGCTTTAACGTGTATGAGGTTTGATACAGACTATTCAGTTTTCTCCAGTATGTTTGGACACCACTACTACTTAAATAACGACCAGTTTGAAAAGATATTTAAAAAATTCAGTTCTAAAGTCCCTATGTTGAAACACACTGCCCCACTCAAAATTGTTCCAGTCTGTTAAAAAGTGGATTCATACCTATACAGCCTACCAATAAATAGACACCTACTTCAGAAAGAATGCCATTTCATTAAACAAACAAACATGAAATGAAGAATAAAAAATTACCATTAGAATTTAGCGGATCTGCTCTTTGCAATATTTAAAACAGAAATACCTACCATATTTACAAAACCCAAAATCTGGGCACTGTGGGATTGCACCCACTCCTGAAGAACTTGGATGAAGATGTCCCTCATGCTAAGTACGAGTTATATCCATCAACTAGCTTGGCAAAATGATAGTATCGATTTCCTGACCTTCAAGCCACCATTTAGTGATCTAGGTCTAAATGATCAGTAACTCCATCTTGTATGAAAACACTACCTTGTCTAGTAAGCTGGTCACTGGATAGACAGGTGGAAGGCAGTGAACGTCCTCTCACATACCACCAGTTGTAACTATCCAGCTACCCAAATGGAACACCATAAAAATACCACTGTTTTGTCATGGCTTAAAGATGGTTCAACCAATATTTCTAGGTGGATGATATCAAAACCAGGTGTATCTACTACCCAAGAATTGTGCAAGTTTGGATTCAGAAAAATTACAGTATCGTAGAATTCAAGAGGAGTGTGATACCCACTGCATTCAATGTATTATATTGCCTGTATTGGGGAGTGGATTACATCTAGCTACACTGCCATTGGCTATTTATAATGTACTGGAGCACACTTGTAACAGTAGCAGCCATTTGACATTGGTCATGCTCTTGACTTTTCTTCACAGCAGGAAGAATTATTTCTGTTGGTTTTTGGATGCCCTGGCTATGCACAAATTCTTGTTTTCTAACAAGACTAAAATTATGTCACCCAATTCACTGTAGGCAGCAGTATCGTAGATGTCCTAATAGTTTCTTGTTAACATAGATCATCTTCCCATTGTCCAAATATGTCAACTCATGAAAATATGATTAATTTCCAGAACCCTTTCATTTATGGCATACCCATTTTTAATCTGTGGTTTTGATCGAACTATATTTTTCTGTATACATTAGGGTTATTGTTATATAACATCATGGAGATAGAAAGTGTATACTTACTTACTGGTAGGCTGCTTGTGTGTGTCTTTGTATATAAAAATTATTACTTTCCAAGACCTTCTGATCTCAGATGTTCTTTGAAGAATAGTGAGTGACACAGAGAAATGACAAATAACATTTACTGAAATGAAGCATACACATTCCATATTCAGTAAATGTCTACAGGAAATACAAAATATTCAAATTTTAGTTAACTTTCAAGAACAATGTTTATCACATGATATTTTTTTTACCACATGAAATTTCCTTTCATTATAGTTTAAGCACATAGATACACAATGGGCTATCTGTGCTCTGCCCACCACAGTACAACTCTACTTATTCAATTATGTACAAGCTGCCCAGTGTCAGATAACAATACAAAGAATTAAATTGTGGCGGAGTGCTACAAGTTCTTCAAATACCTATAGAATGATAGGTTTCTTTTTGGTGAGTGTAAAACATGTAAATACACCATTTTAAATATCACCTACTTATAGAAAAAGTACTGTATGCTGTATAGTAAAATTATATTAAAACTTAGCAACAGTAATAAACAAACTTACCTGACTGCTCCACCAGTTCCACCTCCCTAAAACAAAAACAAGCAAACAGATTTCCTGATTATCAAAGATTGAAGACTAAAACAATACTTCATGAGTTAACACATTTGTTCAAGACTAATATAATCATCAGAAGTAACATCAATAATAATCTCATGATCATAATAAAACAGCAATTAGCAAACAGAATATGACATCTAACAAACAAATCATTAACTCACAAGAGCATACAATGATCAATAGAAACATCATGAGTTGATAATGAAGTAAATACACATACATGATGTGGGTTACAGTTGGTCCTTACAGAAGAAAGTAGATTCAAAAGACATTCCTGTTGCCATAAACATGACAATTGCTTAAGTACTTTTCTGAGACTATACTTACTATTTCATAACTTTAGCTAATAAACAGTCAAAAATAAAAACACTACTTTCAACAATTAGAAAAATTGCTTTCCTTTCTGTACCAGTACGATATCTTTTACTAACTTTCTTTTAATTTGATTACATACATAAAAGAAAAGAGCTACAAGCATTTCTGCTTAAAAAAGCTAAAGAACAACAAAATGGGGTGAACTCTTTCCTTAATAATAATTAAAAAAAAATATCTGAGGTTATCAAAATGTGGTTAAAACAAGTGCACCTGCATGAGTCAATAAAGAAAATCTTAAATTTTTGTAAATGATTATAGCAGAAATATTTAAGTTTATTATATTACGTACTTTCTTCTAAAATTACTAGGTTACGAAAATAATGTCACCCCTCTATGCATCAAATATGTTTCTTTAATATATCTAAATTCATTCTCTCCTTTTCTTAATATATCATACAACACATTAATTTTTAAATGTATAAATAATATCTGGATGCATTGAACAAAAAATTAACAGTTTTTTTTAAACTACAGATAGATGCTCAAGAAAAGTTTAACTTATATGAAATTATAAGTGTTAAAAGCATTAAAAATTCAACTTATTTCCCCACAAACTGCTTCTAGAAGCTTATAATCATATGGAACATTTGCTGAATAGTACAACCATCATTTTACACAGATCTTGACATGTGATCTATTTGCTATCTCAATGAACCACAAACATATTTCCTACTTACCAGTATGTTTGAAGCTATAGATTTAAGCATTTATATGATTGTTTTGCTCACCTTTCCAGCACCAGTTCCCCATTCCCCACTGCTGCTACTACCCATGTGCCTAAAGTAATAAAGAAAAGGAATAGTTAATCTTACTTTACTGAGAGTTAAAACCAAAATCAAATTTGTATTTTTTAGTTTGGTAGAAAACATGTCTGCAAGTTATTACAAAAGTTTATGCTAATTACATTTAACCAATATGTAAGTCTACAATTGTTTATTTCTAAAGTCTGATCATCAGGTTGTGCAAATGCCAGACACACTAAATACAGTAATACTCATTACAAGAAACAAGTTTAAAGTTGAAATTAATAAGTTGAAGTGTTACTGTTAGTGTTCAACGCATTATCCTGACTTTCCTACCTACTTTCTACTAGCTTGTATTTCAAATGTGAAATGAAATGTTTATAAATAATTTTAGTTTTGTCTCATATAACTTTGTACTGAGTGCAAGATAATGTGTACAACCAATCGACTACGCCTCGAAACTTACCACAGTATCCAAAGACATAGTTGATACATTAACTGATTAAGACTAAGCTTTAAACTAAGTAACAGATGAACTTTGAACTAATGGCATTGAGTGTATATTAGAAATATTACTACAAATATTTCATGCTAGATTAAACTTAGAACAAAAGCAAAATATGAACAAACATGAAAGTAAAATTTTACCTCAAAACAGAAAGTGTGCGGGTGAAATTAAAGTTCAAATTCAATTTCAACGCCATCACTTAGTTTTGTATTGTTCGATTGCAGTTTAGTCAAGGCCACGTGCTATCGATAAGTTCAAAAACTATAGTCACAATCAGACGTGTACAAAAATAAAATAAACATATATAATTTTGTAAGTTGTAATATTTAGTTAAATTTTGCTGGGTTTTTTTTTCCCCCCCCCATGTTATTTTACAAGTGCGATATTATGTATTTGATCTTTAAAATGTTTGATATGTTGTTAGTTGTAAAGAAATGTTATTCACAAGTAAATGTTAAATTTACGAGTTAATTTTTGTAAAAAAATGTTTAAGATACAGTGGTTATTTCTACTTTTATTGTTATTCTAAAATTTATGTCTTAAAGGAGTGGTAATATCTGACTTAGTTTAAATATTTAACATCTGCAGCTTTGTTATGTTACAGACATTTGATGCTTATCAACAAAATTTCTTCCTGAGAGTTCTTTACTTGTGGTAAATTTGTGAAACTAGATATAAATTATTAGGGTATAAACCGATTAGTAATTAGTAATAATTCTAAGAAAGTATTGCATATCCAATATTGCCAGACTATAGAAGCTGATTGGATTTCAAGAATGGATTTGGTGCAATTCTATGAGTTTCGTTGGTTAAATTTGTTTTATTGTGTTTTACGAGGGTTTTCTTTTTTTTATATAGATAAATCATTGAAATCTAGATATTTCAAAGCATTTCACTTAATTTAGTAGAAAACTAACATTATTGTACTTTAGAATAGTGTAATAATACCAAAACATCTTACATTATTTTCAATTCACAACGATAATCAGTCTTACTCTTAGAAAGACACAGTGAGTATTATTAACACAATGGAAAAAATTAACATTTGAACAATTAAATATTTGAATTGTTTTGTACTTATTAATAATACTAAAACAACAACTTACATTTATAATAACAATCTAAAAGTAAAATTTTACTATTCCTTTATTATAAAAGAAAAAGTGAGAAAGAAAGAGAATTTTACAAATTGCACTAAATTTTCCACGATTTCCGTACATTCCACACAAGAATACCTTTTTCCTAGAGGCCTTCATTTTTACCCACGATCGTAAAAAATTATCATTGCCTAGCACTTCTGCTCGTATCAGATCGCTTAAATTAAGGCCAAGTTTCAGACTGACTAAATCCAAGGTCCCTTAATTGCCGTTATACTTAACAGATACCCAGAGCAACACTCATTTTCATATGACTGGTTATTCTCATTTCAATATAGGTAGGGACATTCTCTACATGTCACCTGAACAACCATTGAAGAGCACTGATATCGACATCGTAAAGAGACGTGTCGTATTTAGTTATGTTCAACATAACTCCATGGGTGGTCACAAGTCAGTGGTGTAAGAAGGAGTTGCAAAGTGTGGATGCTTGGCTAGACATGCATATTTTTTACAATGAGAGACTGAAAGTATAAGGAGCTGCTAAAAGTAGCTCCCGTGCTGCAAAAGGCAGTTCAATCTAGGGAGTGTGGGGGAATACCCCTCAGAAAGTTAATATAATTTACAGTTACTATATAAGTCAAATATGTAAATGTGGGAATGCTATGCACCCCCAGTTCTGACACCTCTACAAGTATTACCTACTTTCTAGAATCTAGAACGACAAAGGCAATAAGCAACTTGAAACAAGTTCAACTTAACTTACAACCACTATGTAACTATAAAGTAACTAAGCAAGCACCTCTACTAATTACTATAACTTTTAATGTAGTAAGTGTATCTTCATGAAATGTGGCAAGATTTTAGTAAACATTATATGACTTTTTTCACAAAAAATCAGGTTTTAAGTATTTTTAATAAAGTTTTGTTTGTGAATATATGGAGTCAGAGTGTGACTCACAGCTTGACTAGTCAGGGTACAATGTGATTTTCACGTTAAAATTAAAATACGTTTGTCAGGTTACAGTTTTGGTATTATATTGTTACGTCTCTGGTCGTTTGTAAATTCCCTGTATAATTTCTTTCGGATGAAACTTTAGCAATACAAGTCCTTTCTTAAAGAAAATTAGTTCTTTCTCAATACAACTTTGCAATACACTTAATTTCCACAGTCACTTTAACACACTATAATTCACAACGATTCACGCACTTTACTTACGATCACTATCGCGCTTGACTCAATTGTCCGTCTCTGTCTCTGCCTGTCTGTAATTATCTATGCCGTCACTTTATTTGCCGGCTTAT